TCCCTGGGAACATGAGTGTGAATGAATGTCATCCATGAGATTGGTTGCTGTTAGAGGAGGATTGGGAATAAGCCTGCTGTCAGTCCACGGCCTCCTAACTGTTGGTTGGGATAGGCAGATGAAGGTGGATTGTCGCAGATAGATATTTCCAGGGTATCTTCCAAAACAGCATGTCTTAAATATGAATGACATATAAATCACCTGAGGATCTTGTTAAAATGCCAACTGAGTGGGGCGCGGTGGCTCACACCTGTAATCTCAGCACTTTGGGAGGCCGAGGCGGGCGGATCACCCGAGGTCAGGAGTTTGAGACCGGCCTGGCCAACATGTGAAACCCCATCTCTACTGAAAATACAAAAATTAGCTGGGTGTGGTGGTGGGTGTCTGTAATCCCAGCTACTCAGGAGGCTGAGGCAAGAGAATCCCTTGAACCTGGGAGGCAGAGGTTGCAGTGAGCCGAAACCACGCCATTGACCTCCAGCCTGGGTGACAGAGCGAGACCCCATCTCAAAAAAAAAAAAAAAAAAAAAAAGCCAACTTATTCAGTAGATCTGGGGCGAGGCTAGTTGGGGACTTCCAGGTTCTGGTGTAAAAAATGGGAAATTTGTTGAGGTTTCTAAAATGAAACCATTCTCGACTTCTTTAAATAAAGCTCTGATGGTTGAATGCTTTCTAAATAGTCTCTCTTTTCCTATGGCTACTAAACGGAGGTTCATAAGGAGCAAGGCCAGGGCAGACCCTAGTAACCACGCAGGAAGTTGACTACACGTGCGTAGGTTCATATGCTATTTTGGAATGCTTGGCCTACTCCTGAAAGATCATTACATAACGCTTCTCCAGTTAATTGCAATCACAGAGGAATCAAAATCTAAAGCTGAAGAAGACTTTAGAAAATCTCTACCATTCTGTTATTTTAGCGATGCTGAAACCAGGTCCAAATGCTTAAATTACTGGCTTGGCACCTAATATAGGACCTGACCCATCAATATTAATTGATCCAATTAATAAAATGTTCAGTATCATATCTTATAAAGTCCATCAGAACAAGGACCTTTTTTTGTCATTGTTTATTGAGACTTTCTACATGAGGAGTTGCAACCCTTTGTCTACAGAGGCTGAGGACCTAATGTGTAGCCAAGGAGAGAGGGCTGGGGGTGGGACTTGGGGAGATAAATAACACTTGATTTTTCCAGAGAAACCAGAAATCTAGAGTTTCAGGTGAAATCTCATTTAAAAATATTGGCAGCTAATTCACATTTAAAACACAACACCACATGGCCAAACAAGACATGTTGTCCAGGCAACTTGTTTTTAGCCTCTGAACTTCATGGATGTCAGTGATCTTAGTTCACTTATTGTCTGTTTGGATGTCATGATGCAGTGCCAGGCTTAGGAAATACTTTCCCTGTTAGCCTAGTCAGAAAGAGAGTTTCTTATTTAAGAAGGGAAGCTTAGGCCAGACACGGTGGCTCATGCCTGTAATCCCAGCACTTTGGGAGGGTGAGGCGGGAGGATCACGAGGTCAGGAGTTTGAGACCATCCTGGTCAACATGGCAAAACCCTGTCTCTTCTAAAAAATACAAAAAATTAGCCAGGTATGGTATGACACGTAGTCCCAGCTACTTGGGAGGCTGAGGCAGGAGAATCGCTTGACTCCTGTGAAGGAGCGTGTGTGAGTGAGCCAAGATTGCACCACTGCACTCCAGCCTGGGCGATGAGAGCAAGACTCTGTCTCCTCTGTCTCAAAAAAAAAAAAAAAAAAAAAAAAAAAAAAAAAGGGAAGTTTGCTAACAGTCAGGATGTAGGAGATGAATTGGACTACAGAATTCTCTCTCCATGGAGCCAGAACAAGAGATGTTTGAAAGATTTAATTCAGCTTGGAACATGCTTGGAAGTTGCTTCAGTATGGGGATCTTTGTTACTCCAAGCCAAAAATCTGGGGATTTTTCTGAGCTTAACTGCTCACTTAATGAGAAATCCATAAAAGGCTTCCAGCATTTATCTACACATGGGGTTAGAAAATCCAAGTGTGTTGCGACCTCAGGACAGTTGGAACAGGTATAAAGTGTAGGCACCTGTTTATCTAATAGAAGTATTTCATAAATGTTTCACTGAAGTACAACATACTTCAGAAAAGTACATTGGAGGATACCATACAATGAATTTTCACAAACTGAACATATTTGTGTATCCAGTACTCAAGTAAAAAACAATATGACTAGAATTCTAGAAACCCCTCATGCCTCGTTTCCTAGTCACTAACCTCTCTATTTCCGTGCCACGAGGGGAACCACTATTCCAACTTCTAATAGCATAGATTCTCTCTCTCTCTCTCTCTCTCTCTCTCTCTCTCTCTCTCTGTGTGTGTGTGTGTGTGTACGGGTGTAGTGTGTGCCTTATTTTTCTCAACATTCTTTGTAAGATTAATTCATCCATATTGTGTGTAGTTGTGTTGCTGTCATGTATCGTTGCTCTATAGTATTCCATTCTGTATATATACTACTATTTATCCATTCTTCTGTTGATGTGTATTTGGATACTTTCCATTTGGGATGCTGCTATGAGACTTCCAGTACATTTCTTTGGTGAACACATGCACACATTTCTTTGAGACAAATGCCTAGGAATGGAATTGCTGGGCCATCGGGTATGCCTACGTTAAGCTCTAGTGAATGCAGCCAAATAGCTTTCCAAAGTGATTGCAACAATTTACATTCCTGACACCAGCGTATGGGCGCTCTGGTGCTGCACATTCTCATAAACACTTGTTAAAAAACAAAAGTTTAGCTTTTTGTTTGGTGCTGGTGTAGTGTATCAGATCACTGATTTAATTAGCATCTTCCTGAAGACTGGTAAAGTTGGAACCTTTTAAAAAATATATTTAATGGCCATTTGGATAACCTCACCTGTGACCAGACTGTTCAAATATTTTGACCATTAAAACATGTGGCTTATCTTTTCATGCTCTAACTGGTGTCTTTGGATAAGTAGAGGTTCTTAACTTTAGTGTTGACCAATGTATCAACTTGTCTTGTCTTTATGCTTAGCCCTTTTGTGTCCTATTTAAAAAAATCTTTGTCTACTTCAAGGTCACGAAGATGTTTTCCTTGAAAAGTTTTACCATTCACATTTTGAATACAAATCTGAGGAAGCATCTTTGCATCTTCTAGTGATGTTTTTTACCCAGGCTTAGTGAATCTACGGCAGGGCTAAGGGGTAATAAATCCATAATGGTAGGAGCAAGGAACCAAAATCAGACTGCCAGGCTCTTCCAGTTATCAGTTGTTTGACGTTAGGCAATTGTTTAAGCTCACTGTGCCTCAGTTTCTCAGGGGTAATAATCCTGCCTTCTTAATAGTTTTCTTGTCAGGATCAGTTATGTCAATACAAGGCTGAGAACGGTACCTGGCATGAAATAAACATCACTAAGGGTTAGTTATTATTATTGGGCTTATTTTAACAAGCTAAGGGCAAGAAGTGGGAAGAGGCGAGAAAGAAGGAGAGGGAAATCTGTGTGTTGCAAATGTTGGAGAGAATGGCAGAAAGGGGTGGAAAGCCACTTATCTCTACCCAACACTCTTAAATTAGGTGATGGGTCATAAACTGTCAGAGTATAAAAGCCAGAAGGTTCCAATAAATAAAGACACATATTGGGAATACATAAATAAGGAAGGCCGGATGATCAACAAACATCCTGGTCAAATTTATCCTTTTCCTGGAGTTGGAGAGAATGGGCCACAGTCTTACTAATTATTTTAAACCCATAGATAGGTGATAATTCATTAAGCCAGTTAATATGAAGAGAAGCTGTAGTTTGGGGAAAAGTCGGCTGTGCTGACAATCCAGCAATTGAGTTTTCCATCCCCACTTCCTAGAGTCAGATGCTCACCTGGGCAAAATTGCCCTCCAGGCGATTTTGGTAGACATTCAAATTCTGGACCAGTGATCCACAAACTTTGACTGTGGATCAGAATCACCTGGAGGGCTACCCCCTCTTTCTAATTCAATAGACCCGAGGTTGGAACTGAGAAATCTCAAGTCTGACAAGTTTCCAGGTGATGTGGAGGCTGCTTATCCAGGGACCATGATTTGAAAACCACAGACATAAACTAAGAGTTGGCAAACTACATCCCGTGGGCCCATCTGGCCTGCTGCCTGTTTATATGTGGTCCACAAACTGAAAATGGTTTTCACATCTTTAAATGTTTGGAGGAAAAAAAGACTATTTTGTGACACATCCAAATTATGTGAAATTCAAATTTCAGTATCCATAAACAAAGCTTTGTTGGAACACAGCCACGTGCATTCATTTATGTGTTGTCTGTGGCTGCTTTTGTGCCACAATTGCAGTCGAGTAGTTGTGAGAGAGACCGTGGGGCCCACACAGAATATTTACTTTTGTCTCTATATCTTTTTCACATTAGCAATGCCAATCAACCTGACACCATAAACCTCCCTGAGAAGTCCTTGCCTACGGCTGCTTGTTGAGGCAAATGGCTGCAGAAAGTTATTGACAGGTATCCTTGTTCTATGCCACGTGTGTAATTTGACTTGTACTGGACACATGATCAAAGATCTGATCAGTGACGTGTATCTCTCCTCACATCTAATCAGGTTCACCTTTATGAGGATCTTAACTCGCTATGTGGGTAGGAAATTATTCATTGCTGCAGTGAGTATAAGCTAAAAAAAAATCCTGAGCCCCCCCGCAACCAACTGGACAGATCCCCTCTTGGCCAAGGAGACCCCACAGTAAACTTAAGAACTGGGTTCCCAGCCATGATGGAAAGGGAGGCAAAACACATCTCCTTATACCCCACCCTTTTGTGGTCTAGACAAAACAACTCATCAGCGTTAATGTTAAAATAGGAATCATCAGACTGACAATAGAACATCAAATTATAAACAGTACCTAAGGCCATGCCATGCAAGGGTTAAGTCATGCAGGCTACACCTAAGTAATAAACTACGTTCTAACTGCCACAAGAGTTTTATTTTTCTCTAGCAGCTGAACAAGCACTGGCTTCAAGTTAAACAATATGAAAACAATGACAATTCATCCAGCCCACGGACACTGACTGATCCCCTGTTCCACCAGCCATGACTACAGCTTCGGTTGGACAAGAGACTGATTTCAGGAACTTTCTCCAGATAAGAAGACCACCACCAACCATGGACTGGTTCTGGCCGGTTTACAGAGGCTGTGCAGTTGAGTGCCTTCATGTCCTGAAAAGACTTTATGACATATTATGCCTAATTGTCATATATGGAAATATTAAGTCTCCACCCTAAGGTGAACATGGGTCATATGTTACATGCATGCTTGTTCAATATGCATGTGTGGGGACCACCTTTATGAATATTCATAGCCTCTCCTATAACCTGTTGAATATGTATGTTCAGGTAACCCAGTCAGCATAAAGCTCCTGCCCTAACCCCTACTGCTTTGAAATGCTTGTCTCTGGTCTTGGCTGGTGGCTGTATTTCCCAGCCTACCGGATGGCCACCTTGCAGGATGTAATCACTCACAAGAAATAGTCTCCCCTCTCTTTTCCAAATCTATACATTTTTTTTTTTTTTTTTTAGGTTAACAGGTGCCAAAGGAAAATAAAAAATGCAGAGAGAGGGGACAATGCACATCTATCACGAGGCAGAAGCAGCCACGGGGATGCTGACATTGTGAGGGTGAAGAGCAATCAGCTGTCCTGAGGCAGAGGAGAGCAGAGCTGACAGTCAAGCACTAGGGTGGAGATCAGAAAACACTCCATGGAAGGGGCTGCAGGAAGACCTGGTCACCAAGCTGCTTTGTGCCCTGAAGCACATGTCTGCCTCCTGAGCCAGAGGGTCCCAATTCCCGCAGGATTCCCCACCCTGTGGGCTCCCACACACACCACGCACATGTGGCTCAACTCGGGCTGGTCCCCACACCCCTATGCACCTGAATCTTACTCTTCAAGACATCCCACTTGGGAACCTTCCCAGATCTTCCTTGGTTCTCTTGTTCTTCCTGACCAGTAATGCATCTTCCCTCCGACCTACCCTGTGACCAGTGCCTCTCTACTTTTCACTCTGACTTTTTTTTGTTTTTTTTTTAAAGTCCCCCATTACAGGTTTGAAATGTGACTTGAAGAATGAGGCTTTTGTTTTGTTTTGTTTTGTTTTGTTTTTGTCCCTGTCAATCCCAGCAGAGGCCGTGCACGTGGTCAAAGCTTGAGATCACAGACGGTCAGGTCATCCTGCTCTGACAAGACCACCCCACCCCTACCCACTATGGCCATTTTACAGAGCAGAAGACCGAGGCCCAGAGGAGTGATGAGATTTGACGTTAGTCTGCCGAGTCTCATCTTGTCTGGGACAGGAAGAGCCGATGTCCCTGGTGGGTTCCTGTTTAAAGCCCCAGTCTCCTTCACACTTGTAAATCCCTTCTCCACACTTCGGTTGAGGGAACCTGAGTTAATTTCAAGGGCTTTCAATGACCATTTGCAATTAACTGCATGGGAAATATCTTCAGTCAATTAGCTTTGGCACTTTTCCAGGGCTGTCAACAACTGCTCTGGAGAAATCAGACTTAATTATCTTGTTGTCTTTTCTTCTTTGTTTTTTAATGTTAATCTCATTTGTGAGGGTTTCTGTAAACAACTAGGTAAGCGGAAACTTAATTTGAATGAAGACAATTTGGACAAAGTAACCATATTTTACCAACAACTGGAAGGCTTTAAAAACCTCAGTTGAGTCTGTCCTGTAGTTTATGGGATCTCCATGTCCTCCTAAAATCACTAGAATCCCGCTCGTAGGGAACAGAAATTTAGCCCTATAGGGATGCTCACTTTTTCTCTTGACTTGTTTTTTGAGCAGCAAAGAGCGCAGAAGAGGAACTCAGGAGGGGACAGTCAGCGTTTTGTTTGGGTTCATCCTCTTCAGATCCAATAATAAACTTACTGAATTAAACTAAACAGCCCTTTAATAGCAGTAACTGATGGCTGCTTAGGGAGGAAGCAAGATGCAGCACAGCATTTAAAAACAAGACACAAGGAAGATTAGCAGGGGTTTGCAGTGAGTGGCTGTCCCTTCTGCCTGCTTACCCATGCATTCTGCCTCCAGGAACAGCAACCTCATTTTCGTTAGCAACCAGTCCCCTGCCAGGACTAGAAAAATCCTTGGCGTTTGAGGAAGGATGAGCCCCCACCACCCAGTTCTAGTTATGGGCAGCTGGTCAATTCCACTGCATTGTCTGGCCACAGTTGTTGGCTTGGGATGGAAAAATAACCCAGGCTGGGCCACTGAGGGTCAATCATGGGACGTTTTCTGAGCTGCCACTTTTCTGTGGGTGGTGCTGGGTTGTAAACATGAGTATCTGGTCCTGTTACCAGCTATGTTGCCACTTCATGAGAAGAGTCAGCTTCATGAGAATGAAGGAAAAACAAAGGAAAGCAGAGAAGAGAGGGAGAAAGAGAGTTTCCTGATGCCAACAGTTGATACCTGAATCAAGGTACATCTTTGACTATTAGTTTATTTGGCTAATAATTCACTTTTTTCCTTCTTAATGCAATTTGTGTCACAACTCAAAGAGTCCTTACAAATAGAATGTTTGACAAAACATTATCAAGGTAAAAAAATGATAACTTAATGACCAGGTATGGTGGCCAGTGCCTGGAATCCCTGGACTTTGGGAAGCCAAGGCAGGAGGATTGCTTGAGCCCAGAAATCAGGAGTTCAGGGCTTCAGTGAGCTAGGATGACATTACTGCACTCCAGCCTGGGCAACAGAGTGAGACCCCCCTCTCTCTTTAAAAAAAAAAAAAAAAAAAGACTTACTATTTATTGTCAACCATATGCAAGTAGTAAAACCTGACTTTTAATTGAAGCTCCCTGCAGAGCCTGAATGATAAATCAAGGTAGGATGAATCTTACAAAAGGAATAATCAACATTTTGCTTCTATTCCTCCATGGCCCTGGGGCACCTGTAGCCTTCAGAATCCTTAAGAAGTTGAGTGATGACCTCTCAGTGGCTTCCCTGTCAGGCACTTCTCTGATGACAGGTCCGGTGATGGCTCAGCTGTGTCTTGGCTGTCTGGAGTCTGTAACCATTGCCATTCCCATCTGGCATGCAGTGCCAGGGGTGCTGGGCCAGGATTCCTGATAACTGGCTGTGTGATCTTAGGAATGGCACACTGCTACCCCTTCTCTCAGATGCCCCACAGCAAGGTGGCCAGGCTAGCTTTGGCATGGTTTCCAGGGGTCCAATATGTGGTACCAGCTTCTTCCTGTATGAGGCCCCTCAAGACCCCTTTTGAGTCCTTGTGTCATTCTTGCCCAATGGCAGCTCTCCTCCTGGGGAACTCACATCCCTGACCCATGCGAGATCACAAACAGCCCTCCCTACTGCAGCCTAGGTTCTCCAGAGCTCCTGGTTTTCCCTCTCAAAGCCAGCATGACATCAGCACACCACACTCCACTGTACTTTTGTTTCCCTCACTCCTTGACATTGGCTCAGAAAGAAGGGAGAATTCCATACAGAGCTTTTGCTAGAATTATGCTTTTGGTCCCCAGGAGGTTCTTGAGGGATCTGAGAGAGTTGGGACCACGGACAGCAATCAGAATTGACACATGCTTCCGGGTCCTGGCAAAGTGTACTGGGGAGGGACAGATAGGAGGCTTTGTACCTGTTGCCACTGACATTCATCATACAACTGAAAAGTGAGCAAGACAAGAAACCCTTAGTGTAAATTTGAAGAGAAACAAGAGAAGAGCTGGACACAGGACTCATCCCTGTGGGCCGAGGCAGCCTGGCCTTTAATCGGGGGAGAACTGAACTTTAAGGCTTCACATGTGTCCTGCAGGAAGGAGGAGGATGATGTACCCTTAGTGGGCTGGGTTCAGGGGCATCTGTCAACCCCACTTTATGCACTGAAGCTGGCCATATGGCCACATGCCCAGCTCTGAGCATGTCCCGAGTCCTGTCTAGCACACTAGTGAATCAATAAACATTGAAATGTCATGCTACTAGGAGCCATCCGTCATGGTAAATGTTGTTGCTCAATAAATGTCCACAGAGGGTAACAAACTGTGTCTTGCAGAGGACCTTTTGGCCACCACGTGCTCTCTTGATCCTCCCGTTGGAATAATCACAGGGCTCTCCTGGGTTCAAATTTAATAGTAAGGGATGAAAGCCTGCTTCTGAGCCTGAAGCAAAGTGTATTGTTGTTTTTTGTTTTGTTTTTGTTTGTTTGTTTGTTTTCCCTGAAGGGCTGGGCACGCCTGATCTGTCATCCTAACCCCAGAAACGTTGTAGTTATCATTGGTGCTGTTTTCCAAACATTTGCAGTTCTCTCCACATCTGGTGCAGGGTGGCTGCACCCTGGCTCCTGGCTATACTTCCTGGCTCCCCTGTGGTCAAATGCATCCAAATGATTAGTTTTGACCAATGTGCTGTGAACATAAGTAACACGGTTTGCTTTTCAGATTGGAGCATTTAATTGTTGATCTGAGACCCTCTTGACGTATCTTCCCTTTTGATATGGTGACCCAGAAGGTTAAATATGGTGGCTCCATCATCAGCTTGAGTCCCTGAGTGACTCCAATGAACTGAGCCTTCTACCGTCTTCAGTGGACACATAGCATGTGCAAGAAATCCACTTTTATTGTTGAACTTATTGACATTTGGAGAGTCATTTGTTAATGCAGCATAGACCTAACGTATTCTGACTGATACAGGCTCCAGACTAACAAGATATATAAAATAAAGGCAAAAATATCAACTGACCCTCTCACCTGCCGTAAGCATCTAAAATAACCCTATAAACCGTGCCGCAGAATTAAAAGTTGCCCTTCTGGTTAAGCATGGCTGCTTCTGCAACACTGGAGAGATTTCCGGTTATATCTCCAGAAGAGTCCTAGCACACAGAAAAATGAGGCATCTTCCTGGGCCCACTGATGTTCTTTTCCCAAGCAGAGCAGACCTGAGGAAACTTCTGGTCTCAGGGAAGAGAGCACAGAGTAAGTTGTAAATGTTGTCTCAGGACTTAAGTGGAGGTGTGACTGCTGTTTCATTTGCCCATCCTGGAAACTTGTCTAGAAAAGCTGTCAGGCTTGGGAAAGTGACATATGGTGGAACTTTGCCTCTAGCGTTGGTCTCGAGAGTTTGAATGAGGACATGAGGTTACCTCATGTTCCAGCAGGAAGCAACTTTAGTCTCTGAGTCCCAGCCTCTGCTGAAGTTGGGAGGCTGAGCCCACAGGAGTTGCAGTAGGGAAGTAGGTGTGTGTTCTAGGGATGCAGGAGGGGACAGAGAAAGCAGGGCATCACCCTATGTATGGGTGAGAGAGGCTGCCCGGGCACTGCTTCCAAAACACAAGTGGAGGAAAAGTGCCAACATGGCAGAGGCTGAGCTTTGTCTCCTTGTCCTAACCTAACCCCTGGCAGGGCATGTCCTAGGGGCCACTTGGTAGGGTCAAAGAGTGACTCCTTCTCTCTCCCAGCAGGAAGAGGTATCAGGACTGGTGTTTCTGATGTAGCTCTGTGTTCAGACTGCTCTATAGATGCACAGGATGGACAAGGGGAATGGATCACTGACTTCTGCATTGCAGAATTCCAGGCCTCAAAGAGCCCCTCTTCAAAGCACCTTCACCACTGCTGTTGAACTCTCAAGCTTCACTTCCAGAAGGCTGCTGGCTGTGCATTTCAGAGTTCAATGCCAAAAGTTGGAGAAGGCAAGAAGTATAGCTTTCTCCTATCTCTAGGAGGGGATGATGTAGGTCAAGGGTAGAAACCATTTTTCTGGCAGGAGCTTTTATTGCTTTTAATATTGGGGAGAGGGATATAGTGTCATCTGCTGGTTGTTCAAGAACAGCAAATCCCTTTGTAGGTGTTTTCTGGGTTTCAGCCCTGCCTCCACACGTCTGCATCTGCTCACTTGCATGGTTCACAATCAATACTGACAAAGCGGTGGCTTCTTGGATAAGTGAGATAGCATGGAAAAAATATTCCTACTTTAAGTCAGATTAGCTCTGAGCATCCCAGAGGGCTAGGGGTTCTCCGGGGGTACATCTCTGTCTCTTCCTTGTCACACTTCCCCCTGGCCATAACATCAGCAAGTCATCACTGGCCGCCTCACTTACCTGGAGTTCTGGGTTTGCTCCCAGCTCTGGACTCCGGGCCACCTGGAATTCTGAGCAGGTTCCACAAAGTCAACCCTTACATCCTAGCAGTGACGCTTTATATTCCTTTCACAACAATACCTTTCATTCTAGAACTCATTCTACTTTCACAGCTATTACTGCATTCACTTCTCACGGGCCTTTCAAAAATTGAAAAATGAATTTCCATAGTGTAAGTATAGTATCTGCAGTTCCTTTATTACCACCGGGAAAACCAAAACCACTTACAGAAACATACAGTTAAGGACAGCATGGCTTTTTGTAAAATCAAAAATTACATATTTTTATTATTTTCTATCTCTTCTTTCTCCCTCCGCGTTTCCATAATGCACTTTACCCTTTCAGGAGGCCTTTCTTCTGATTGTGTTATATACATTCTCACTTTAGGATTTCTGCAATCTCAGGAAGTATTTAAGCCCAATATCCTTATTCTTTGTTCTTGTCTTACTCTCTTTTCTTTCAACAAAGCACTGTAAATCCTTAACTTTATTTTTGGAAATTGCAATTGCTTTTCTTTTTTTTTTCTTCCCAGTCTTCTCCCCACTGGAAAACTAAAAATAAAATTCTAAGCCCCCAACTGATGGGACAAATTCCCTCTTGGTCAAACGGATCCCAGGGAAACCTTAAAAACTGAGTTCCTGGACATGAAAAGACAGGAGGTAAGACACACCTTGTTATATATCTTCTCTTTTGCAGTTTAGACATAACAAATGACCAGCACTAATGTTAAACTAGAGATCACGGGACTGACAGAATGGACTCTTTGTGGCAATAAGATACCAAACTACAAACAAGACCTAAGGCCATGCCAGGCAAGAGTTAAGTCATGTATCTTACACTCAAAGAATAAACTGTGTTCTAACTTCCCAGGGGATTTTCTTTTTCTCTAGCAGTTAAACAAGCAATGGCCTCAAGGTAAGTAATATTAAAACAATGACAATGCATCCAGCTCACAGATGCTGACTATATGACCCCCTGTTCCGCCAGCCATGACTAAAGCTTTGATTGGACAAGAGACTAATTTCAGTAACTTTCTCTAGCTACGAAGACCACCGACCATGGACTGAGCTCTGGCTAGTTTACAAAGGCTGCACATTGGAGTGCCTTTGTGTCCCGAAAAGACCTTTTGACAGGCAGGGCCTAATTGTAATTCACTGAAATGTTTAATCTCTACTCCAAGGTGGCCATGGCTTGTATGTAACATGCAATTTTGTTCAACATACATACATCAGGACCCCTTCATGAACATAGCGCCTCCTATATCCTGTTCAACGTGTACGTTTGGCCAACCTGTTCAGCTTAAAATTCCTGTTAAACCCTTCCTCTCTCTCCCTTGAAATTTGCCTGCTTCTGGGCTTTGATTGGAGACTATGCTTCCCAGCCTGTCAAAATGATCATCTCGCAGGCTATAACCTTTTATAAGAACTAAAGCTCTCCTTGCCAAATTTGTGAACATTCACGATTTTTCAGTTAACACCCCTAATCTTTCTCAACTTGCTCCAAAATTTACGTAATGTTTTCAGATAGCCCGTGTTTTCCTTTGTATGCTCCTTAAGTTCTACAGGTGTTTTCTTCCTTAATTAACCTCCTTAAAATTAGGCACTCATTCATTCAGTTGCTTATTCACTTATTCATATAACCATTCAAAACATGTTTATTGAACACCTATTATGTGCTAGACACTGTTCTGGGTACTGGAGGACTGGAGACAGCAGTGAATGAGATAGGCATAGTCCTTGCTCATGTGATCTTATATTTTTATAGGGGAGACTAACAGAGATTTAAGTAATTAAGAATAATTACCTCAGAAAGTGATACATGCTCTGAAGAACAATAAAACAAAGTAGGTTGATAAATGGTGATGGGGGACAAGTGTTTTAAAAAAGGGTTAAGGAGACCTCTTTGAGGAAGCAGTGCTGAAAAGAGACCTGAATGATGCAACGAAGGCAGCCATGACCTACAGGAGGAGGAGACACCCTGCAGGAAAGCCCAAAGGCAGGAAGGCACTTGGGACGTTCGAAGAACAGCGAGGAGGCCAGTGTGGCTGAGCTTGATGAGTAGGGGAGAGGGGCAGGAGTGGGGCCAGAGGGGTGAGTCGGGGGTCTTCTAGGTCATAAGCAGACTTTGGAGTTGGTCTAAGTGGGGTTGAAATGCACTGTAGAATGCCAAGTAGGTGGTGACATCATCTGGTTCATGATTTAGAAAGATAACTCTGGCCAGGCGCGGTGGCCCACGCCTGTAATCCCAGCACTATGGGAGGCCGAGGCAGGCAGATCATGAGGTCAAGAGATTGAGACCATTCTGGCTAACACGGCGAAATCTCGTCTCTACTAAAAATACAAAAATTAGCTGAGCGTGGTGGTGTGCGCCTGTAGTCCCAGTTACTCAAGAGGGTGAGGCAGGAAAATTGCTTGAACCCGAGAGGCAGAGGTTGCAGTGAGCCAAGATCGTGCCACTGCACTCCAACCTGGCGACAGAGTGAGACTTCATTAAAAAAAAGAAAAAAAAAAAGATAACTCTGACTTCTGGGGGAAGAATGGAGGGCATATGGCAATGGAAAAAGAGAGTTCATTTAGTAGGCCCATTGCAGAAGTCCAAGAAAGATAGTAGTCCATTGGATAGGATGGAACCCTGGAGATCAGGGGAAGCAATGAATTCAAGATGTACCATGAGGGTAGAGCTGATAGTAATTGCTCACAGGCTGCACTTAGGGGATGAGGAAAGAGAGGCCCATGGACCACCCCTATGTTTCTGGCCTCAGTAAAACTGGATGAACAACTTCTATCAAGGAGGTGGGAAAATAAGTGGAGAAATAATGTGTGGCAAAGAATTAAGGGTTCAGGTTAAAACATATTAGGCTTAATAGATAAATGGAGATATGGGAGAAAGCAACTGGATAATTAATGGAGCTGAAGATATGGACTTGGGGTAGAAAAAAATGTTTAAAGTCATAGGACCAGGTGAGATCACCAGGAAGTGAATGAGGAGGGGGAAGAAAAGCAGTGCAAGGACTTATTAGCCATAGGGAACTTCAAATTTTAAAGGTTAAGAAGGAAGGTGGAAATCAGCAAAGAAGATTTAAAAGCAGCAGCCTGTCATATAGGAGGAAAATCAGTAGATTAATGGCTCCTGGAAGCCAAAAGAGGAAAATACTTCAAGGAGGGCATAATAAATGATGTCAACCCTTGTGCACCTTACAGCAAAACTATAAGGCACAAAACATGGTCTTCGTTTTGTAGCTACAGAAATTAGTACTTAAAGAAATGAGGTGGTCTGCCCAGAGGGATGCAAACTGTTGGAAACAGAGCCAAGCATAGAACTACATACCAGGGTGCCCTTTCCCTTAACTCATGCTACAGATCTCCTTGTCTGCATTCCCAAGAGGGGAGAGGCCTGAGAGGGTCAGCAACAGCACCAATAAGGAGCAGAGCCAGTGCAGTTCTGCTCTTTCTGGTGGCTTGACTGAGGAGGACCTTAACACCCTTCACAGAGAGACAAAGAGTTGGGTGTTAAACTTCTATTTTCCTGATGTGCATCTTTCAGAAGGTAGAGGATGATGCAGCCAAGGGCTAGAAGGCTTTACCATGTAAGCAACTATTTGTACTTTTCCAGAGGGTGCAGTCCTGGTCTTGTAAACCATCACAGCCTGGACTAAGTGATGGATGAGCAAAATAATGGTCTCTCTTTGATTAGCTAGAAGTTCTGAGGCTCCAAGAAAATCCCTCAGAAAACATATTACCAGTTCTTATTTTTAATGAATGACTGACATTGGGAGATGTAGCTTTGTGGGTATCTATTTCCAAGATAGGATGCACAGAGAAGGGCATAATTGTTCCTTAGGAGGTTTCCGTCTCTTAATCTGACTATAGCTGACTCTCCTGTAAATAGTGTCATAGGAGAGGTAAATCATCTGTGATGAAGTTCATACCAGCCTTGCCTCTGAACTGCACTACCATCCACCTGGTGGTGCTAGCCAGAAAACCAGGAAAACTCTTTCTCACTCACTTCCCACGCTGGACTTAGCACCAAGTCTTCGCAGTTTTACCTCCCAAGTATCTCTCAAACTTAATCATGTCTTTCCATCTCCACTGCTACTGCTAGGATCCAAGCCACCATTAGCCTTGGCTGGACTCCACTGATAGAGACTCCTAATTGGTTTCCCCACCTCTACTCTGAACCCTCAAATGTGCTTTCCATGCTGCAGAACAATCTTTTCACCCTCTGCATAGAACCCTTCAAAGTTTCCCATTGATCTTATGATAAAGACCGAACTCCACAGCGTGACCCCCGCTCACACCTTCCTTCTGATCTAAACTGAAACATCATTCTGTCATGAAAACCTTCTCGGACCACCCTGTGGATCATGGATTCCTTTGTTATCTGCTCTCTCAAAGCCACATTCCTTCACCTCACAGCATTTACCTTAGTTTGGAATGATGAGCTTCATACTGCGATGGTTTCTTCCTTACCACTGGACAGGAAGTCCCATAACCTGTCTGTTTTTTCATTCCACTGTGTCCCCAGCTGCATCTCTACAGCTGCCACATAAAAGAATGAATGACAGTGTGAAGGAGGCTGAGTAGAGCCAAGATGAGTTCATTCAAAGAAGAAACAAGGGGGGATCCATTGCCCTTGGAGGACTGGGTGCAATAGCCTGACAGCAGTGAGTTTTGCTCTCTTCCCAAAGTACTTTTGCAGGTCATAGCCTAGGCTCCTTTCAAAGTCTGATAACCTCATCTGCAGATGCTACCCCTGTTTACTCTATCCGCTGCCCCCGAATGTCATTAATTTCAGCCCCTCTTTTGATCTCCACAAGGAATACACTCCCACCAACCATGTTGTATATTTCCTTAAAATGTGGCACTCATGGGAGGAGTCACCCCGAAAACAGCCTTCCTATCTTCACTTTTCCCCATCTCTACTCTTCCTTCTATTCCTTCCTGGATTGCCTCTCCATTCTCCCCACCTCTAGAGCACTCCAAATTCTCCCTTTGTAATACATAGCACCTTCCTTGTTCCTCTGCAATCTTGATGCCACTCAATGCTCAGATTGGAGGAAGATCTCAGATTCTCTCCCCAAGGTTGCACACAGAAACCCGTGAAGAACCTGAGAACAAAAGCCCTTGCCCTTAGTATGATATAAGCTCCTTAAAGAACATTGTGCATTATAAAGAGTTAAAGAATCTGCCCACTGCCCAGTCATGAGGACAAGCTACAACATAGAGATGGTGGAATCTAGGATGCTTTAATGAAAACAACACTAGAGCTAGTTCTTAGCCTTTTCTCGGACATCACTCTGGTGTGACCTTAATGAAGACGAGGACCCTTGTTAAAACCATCTGGGAGTTTAGAAAACTGTGGTATCCCAGGTCTTCCTCATCATTGGAGATTCTGGTTTAAGTGTTTGAATGGGACCCGACAGGGGTATTGTAAGACTACCGGGATGATTCTAATGTACAGCCAGCTCTGACGATTTCTGATGGAACATCTCTTTCCTTTTATAGGTGAGGAAATTGAGGCTCAGAGAGCAAGTAGCTTAACAGACATCCTGTTGGTCATAATTCTATTTTTAAATGGTTTAAAAGCTCAGTTTGTCCTTTTGAATCTCAGCATCCTCATTCTTGGATTCTTTATTTATATCCCAAATGGCCGGACACCTTTGAATTTCTTCTTTCAGAGAGGATAGATGGTGTTATACTTTCTACCTTCTGGCCTATGAGCATTTTTTCCATTGCATTCTTACTCAGATGGCCACTTGGGTGGTATAAATGCAGCACCCTGAACTGTAGTGTGAATTAGCTGGGGAACTTGTTAAGTGCAGACTAATTGAGAAGATCTGGGTGCAGGCTGAGATGCTACATTCGCATTTCTGACATGCTCCCAGTTGATGCTGATACTGCTGATCAGTGGACCACAGTTTGAGTAGCAAGAGTGGAGTGTTACAGTTTCTGTTTTCCCACCAGACTCTCTGCCTCATTTTGTCAAGTGCTTTTACAAAAATTTATCTTGTTATTTTTTCTTGAGAACCCCATCCTTAACCACAGGGATTGCTAGCATGTTATTGGAGAAGTTCTATTTTCCCTGAGGTTATACTAAGAAGTGTGTTAGTAGGAGCAGTCAGGAGACATCATGCCTGTTATATTGGGAGACTCTGTCTGCTGCAGCCAAGCAGAGCCAAAGTGAGAGGTGGACGGAAAGGTCTCATGGTGGATGTCATCATTTGAGCCTCTGAATTTAACTGTACCTAAAGATTCATCCCAGAGTTTTCCAGTTACCTGAGTTGATAAATTCACGCCACTTTTTTCTCTTTAGGCTGATCTAAGTGTGTTACAAACCTAATGGACTAAGTTGAGGTGGTTTCCAAGGTGGTGAGAATGTTCCCAATCCTGGCTGAGGATTTGGAAATGTTTATTAGGCAATAGTGAAGCAACTGGTTAAGCTGTTACCTGTAGAGCTGAAGCTCTTTCCATCTTATGACTTTGTCCACGGTGCATATTGAAACTGCAGCTTTAGAAAGATGTCAGAATGTTGGTAAGCAACAAGATCTTCAAACAAACAAACAACAACAAAAAACACCAAAAAAGAAAGATATCACAATGCTGAAGTAGGTGGCCTTTTTCTTTCTTTTCTTGGTACACTAATAAATATTTTGAATAAATTACCAAATTTTAGTTTCAGCTACCTGTCTGAAGGCAGAAAAAGAATATCATGAAACTGTGGTGTGCTGCAATCAGCTGTCTAAGACAGTAGGCAGTCATATCATCACACAGCCTAACAAATTCTTTGCATGAAATTCAAGTTAATGCAAGGAAGGAGAGCTAGAATGAGAAATTGCATTACTTATCTGTCATCGCATAGCAAATTACCCTGAAATGTAGTGGCTTAAGACAACAAACGTTGATTCCTGTCCAGTGTCTGTGGGATAGGAATTCCAGCAAAGCATAGATAAGTGACCCTGGCTCACAGTTCCCTCTCACAAAGCTACACTCAGGGTGTTGGCTGGAGCTGTGTTCTCATCTGAAGACTCTCCTTGGCGTAGAGGGAGTATTTGCTTCTAAGCTGTCTCATGTGACGGGCAGACTGGATTCCTTGCTACACGGGCTTCTTGACTTGGTTGTCCCATAACATGATAGCTGGCTTCTCCAGGGTGAAAGATTGAGGAGAGAGCAAAAGAAGAGGTGCCCAAGACAGAAGCCACAGTCTTTTTATAACCCAACGTCTTAGAAACCTGTCAATAAGTCCAGGTCATGCTCAACAGGCTGGTGTGAATATTAGGAGGTGGTGCTCACTGGAGGTAATCTTAGAAGCAGCCTACCACAGAAACTCATTGAGAAATAAGATTACAACACTTGAAGGTGTACCAAGTCCCTCCTAAATAACTTTTGCTGTCTATTCTTTTTTTTTTTTTTTAAAGTAGACATGGAGTCTTGCTCTGTCACCAAGGCTGGAGTGCAGTGGTGTGATCACAGCTCACTGCAGTCTCTACCTCCAGGGCTCAATTGATTGTCCCACCTCAGCCTTCCAAGTAGCTGGGACTACAGGTGCACACTACCATGCTCAGAGAAATTTGTATTTTTTTTTTGTAGAGACGGTGTTCTGTTATGTTGCCCAAGCTGGTCTTGAATTTCTAGGCTTAAGTGATCTGCCCACTGGCCTCCCAAAATTCTGGGACTTCAGGCATGAGAAACCACATCAGTCCTGTCTGTTTTTTTCATCAGAGCCAAAACCTTCCCCCCACATGGGGACAAAGAGGACAGTAATTCTGCCTGAGCACGTGGTGATGGTCACAGGCAGCAGCCGCAAGTGAAGCTATAAGGTTTGGTTCCAGGCCTCAATGGGAGGAGGACTCTGGCCTGTTGCTAAAAGCCAGAAACAGCATCTCAGTAGAACTCCAATGCAGAGATCCTGGCACTCATGGAGATGAGGGATTGCTATCCAGAGCGTTCAGCACTCAAATTGATCAACCGTTAATTAAGTTTTAAGGGGACTGTACAAGGAGAGAAATTCCAAGCCTGGCTAACAGGGCCATGATTATTGATCTCTTCTAAGATCCCCAGGTCTGTGTCACCTGGCCTAGAGAAACGCATTATTAAGCAGGTGTTGTTATCTTTTCTCCTTTGCACCCCTCTCAGAAATGGGCCATGATAGCCAAGAGAGCAGAAAACAGGCAGCCCAATGGACTGACCGAGGACTTCTTTCACCATCAGGCAGGAAACCCTTCTGTATCTCCCCTGCAGGAGCAGTTATGACCCTTTGGCCACCAAAGTCAATCCCTCTCCTTCCCTTTTCTAAATTGGGGTTACTAGTGTGTTAATCCTATTTTCTCACTATCACTGTAACATCGGGTTTGTCAAGTGTGGCTAAATCTATCCTTGGGTCTCAAGTTGCACCAGGTTGGGGGACCACACATGACCTTGAATGAGAGGGATGCTCATCTTCCAGATGGATTTGCAGGTGGATGCAGTGGCCAGATGAAATGCTGCGTTGTCTTCGTCTGAGGAAAAGGTATGTGAGTGTTTTGATTATACCTCATATTATAGCATCATATTGGCTGAGAACACTTTGTAGAAATGAATAAAAAGAAAAAAGGGCGCTTGAGTGTCAGAACATAAGACCGAAGAGAGTGGAATGTGGTAGCTGTGGCTGTGTTCTTTTGGCATGATTTCTCATCTCCTTTTCCCCTCATTCTTTGGGGAGCTTCTCTCGCATTCTATGGGATAGTTGGGTGATTGCCATCAGACTACTTTGTTCCTCATCCTCAGGGCTTCTGTCTCTTGCAATAGAAGCATTTTAACTAAAACAGGTATCTACGGAATGTTTTGATCTCATTCTCTTTCCTTCATAAATATTGTTGATGTCTTTTGCCATTTAACATTATAGAGGATAATCTTGAAGTTAATCTGTTTTTATAAAATAGAAAGGTAGGGCCGGGCGCAGTGGCTCACGCTTGTAATGCCAGCACTTTAGGAGGCTGAGGCAGGCAGATCATGAGTTCCGGAGTTCAAGACCATCCTGTCCAACATGGTGAAACCGCATCTCTACTAAAAATACAAAAATTAGCTGGGCATGGTGACGTGCGCCTGTAATCCCAGCTACTACGGAGGCTGAGGCAGGAGAATTGCTTGAACGGGGACCCAGGAGGCAGAGGTTGCAGTGAGCCAAGATAGCACCACTGCACTCAAGCCTGGGAGACAGAGTGAAACTCCATCTCAAAAAAAAAAAAAAAGAAAAAAAAAGAAAAGAAAAGAAATAGAAATATAGGCAACTTGTTAAATCTATCTTATTATACTTTATCCTCAAGTTCAAGGCGCAGCTCTATCTAGTAGAAACTCTATCTAATGTTTATTGAAGCCTTTTTTTTTTTTTTTCTTGTTGCCCTGGCTGAAGTGCAACGGTGCGATCTCGGCTCACTGCAACTTCAGCCTCCAAGGTTCAAGCAATTCTCCTGCCTCAGCATCCAGAGTAGTTGGGATTACAGGAACTACTACTGGGATTACCCACCACCACGCCCAGCTAATTTTTGTATTTTTAGTAGAGACGGGATTTCACCACATTGGTCAGGCTGGTCTCAAACTCCTGACCTCAGGTGATCTGCCCGTCTCAGCCTCCCAAAGTGCTGGGATTATAGGCGTGAGCCACCGTGCCCAGCCATTTATCGAAGCCTTTTGATCTGCAAGTTTAGGTGTTCAGTTTTAGGATAATTTTATTTGCTTCTGCTCAATTTCTACTTTTCTCCCCATCAAATACACTGTTAATATACACTTTGGCTCTCTCTTTTCTGTTATCTACTTGGAGCATCATCCCTTTCATGAATGTGTTTTCTTTTTCTTTTTCCTCTTGATTGTGGGTGAGTTGCTGATAACATTGCTGATGTAATTTTTTTTTTTTGCACTGTTGATTCTTTTCTTAACTCTTTTTATACATTAAAAAGTCTCTTTTCACATGTTTAATATTAATGTTTTTCACTTATCTCATCTAGTTCCCTTTTCATAATTCCTTCTTAACAGCTGCCTTTTGATCTCACTGCATTGTCTTTTGTTTTAATACTGTTGACAATACAAGACAAACATCTAAAATTTATGTCTGCTTCCTGCAGTAAATCTCTTAAAAAAAGAATGCTCTTCTATTGCTATGGAAATAGTATACTACCCATCTGTGTTTAGGATCTCCTCATGTATCTCATTTTATTTTGCTTCTGTTTTTTCATATCTGAACAATAAAGCTTCTATCTGCGTCTAGAATTTGTTCCCCAAAATAGATGAGTGGGTTCTTCTGAGATCATCTCACTAAGGTCTTAAGTTTGAGGGCAGTTGGAGGACTGGAGAGAGATCTACAGTCACAGAGTAGAAAGGCAATTTCATGAATGAGTAGTGTCTTTTCTGTGGCAAAGCCACTGAGCTGGGCATCCATCCTGGTTGTCAGATTGTCGTGTTCCTGGCCCACCATAGCTGGATGAGCCATAGTGTTCTGTGGAGTGTGTGTGTGTGTGTGTGTGGGTGTGTGGTGGGGGTTGGGGGAGTGTGTGCTGCAGCCTCCAGCCTGTTGTTTGCTGCAGCTGCCATGCCCTGGTCTACCAAGGTAGTTAACCGTGACATTCCCATTGCCCCATTGCATTGATGAAGAAACTCCGCATCTTCCATAACTGCCACCAACAGTCTTATACTTGACACACAGAACTTCCTAGTGTTCAAATTTTCATTTGTGAGGTGTTAATTCACATATAACCCAGAACAGACATATAGCCCTTCATGTGTTAACTCAGTGCTCTTTCCTATGCCTGGAATATGTCAATATACATTTTTCACCCTTCCACTTTCTACTCCTTGAATGCCTGTCTTAGTGGTTCTTTTCCATGCCAGATACTTTTGGGTTTCTCCAGCCAGAATTATTTCTCCTATTGTACCTTATACATATCTCTATTTCAGCACTTGGTAAGTTGTGTTTTAATTGCTTATTCTTCTGTCTTCCTAGTTAGCATATGAATTCTAAGTTGTCAAGGATGTGTTTTATTCATCTCTATTATCCCTTCTTTGTTCTTGGCATCTAACAGACTGCTCAGTAAATGTTTATAAATGAACTAATTGAGTGAGGAGACTTGAACACTTCCTTTATCTTTGGTTAGGTGGTCTGTGTGGGAGCTTAGTTTTGAGTGAATGTTGGAATTTCAATTCTCCTAAGCACATCTGTCTCTGCTGACTGTGTATCTTGTCTGTGACAGTCCTCCTGGCTTGCAAACCAGGGAACAGCCGAAAACTCCAAACACATTGTCTTCCACTCCTAACAGGTACACAATGTTTGCAACCACCACCTCCCTTTCTCTAACTCTTCAAAAACAAGCCATGCTAACTGTTAATTGGAAGAGGCCTTTAACTCTAAAAAGAAGACAACCCACTTTTTCAAGTTCTTGTTGCTATAAATCACACTACGTCTATAGCAAGATGCCTGTCTCTTTTTCCTGACAAAAATATAGAACTGAATGTGCCAAGCCCTCTCTGCTAGGTATGCTTTCCTTTCAATATTTCAACCAAATGTCAGAGAGACAGGAGAATGTCTTATCTTTAAGGAAATCCTGTCTAATCATTTAGAAGGAAGATTGAGATGGAGCCTGGTGCTAATTATTTTCTGTTTTTCTCTAGAATTGAGGGATATGCTTGGGAGCTGGTAAACAGTGGGGGCCAGGGTGCAGCTATATCTTTAGATGCAGAAAGTATCTTAATAAACAAGAGTTGCGTGGTTTTTTGTCCAATCTGTGGATTTTTTCTTTCTTTTTTGCAATGTATTGAGGTATAATTGCTATGTGAAAACCTGCACATATTTATAGTATACAATTTGATATATGTATTCACCTGAAAAAATATGACTATGATCAAAATTGTGTACACGCATATGTATAAATCTTGTGGATTTATGTGACATCGGGATCAAAGGTTCTACATCCGCAAGGGCTTATAAATTTTGTCAATTTTTACCCTGTTGCAGACATTGATTTTCTTTTTTTTGGTCACCTGGCCTTTAAGCTCTTCTCAGGTTTTCTTTTCTTTTCTCTTTTTTTCTTTCTTTTTTGAGATGGAGTCTCACTCTGTCGCCAGGCTGTAGTGCAGTGGCGCAATCTTGGCTCACTGCAACCTCCGACTCCCTGGTTCAAGAGATTCTCCTGCCTCAGCCTCCCAAGTGACTGGGACTACAGGCATGCGCCACCACACCCAGCTAATGTTTGTATTTTTAGTAGAGACGGGGTTTCACCATGTTGGCCAAGATTGTCTCAATCTCCCGACCTCGTGATCTACCCACCTCAACCTCCCATTACAGGCTTGAGTCACCGCATTCTGCCTAGGTTTTATTTTCTCTGTCACCATAGCTTTCAACATCGGAGTGAGTTTTGTTTTCCCTTGACACTGATTCTGGTTAGTCGGTAGCCACTAACATTGTATGTGTCAGGGAAAAAGGATTTCATCCATTGTGGTTCTGCCCTTTCTCTCATTGAATCACAGTTCTCTGACTGAGTCCTCTTCCAGAACCTTTGTGGAGTCCCTCTTCCACGTTCTGACCACAACTCCAACTGTGTGGATGGAAGTGAGTATTTCTACCACCTTCTCCCCCACTGACTCATTCCTATGGCTTCATAACCCTTGGGGCATGCTGATGCTCAATTCTGCCTTCCTCTTAATCACAGTTTCTTCACTGACTAGCCAGTGATAGCTGTAGGGTCTTCAGGTTTTAGCTAACATGCTAACAGGATTCTAGTGGTGATCTCACTCCAACATGAGATTTTTCATCTGATATCCATTAATATGAGAAGCATTGCACACTTGGAATGAAACAGAAAAACGTTGTTAGGTTGTCATATAGGTTTAATCTGAAAGCATAGTTGAAAGCATCTTAACTCAGACTAGAAAGTGGTCACTCAGATTGTCACCCCCTGAAAAGGGATAACTCATTTCCGTTTTCTCAGACAGAATACTTGCAATCAGGCTAGAATCATAGAGTCTTTAAATTACCTTGTGATCACTTGTTTGATACATAAGACAGAGTCATTTCTCCAGGGGACTGTAAAACTTGTTTTACAAATACTGTTTGAAACAAGCAGGTCATCCGTGGGGTTGGAAATCTTTTTACCATGGGCAGATTCTTATAGGTGTAATAATTATAATGTAATTTACTCTGTGTTTTGTTGCTGTAGCATGTTTACTGCCTAGTTTGGCAAAAGCTGGAGGAGGCAACAGGATCGAGCGAAGGTTGGGGAAAACTAGGTATATTTGTAGATAAGAGTGGTTATCACGCATGCTCAAGAAAGACAGAGACTACCATTCAATCCAGCAATCCCACTACTGGGTATCTACCCAAAGGAAAAGAATTCATTATATGAAAAAGAGTCTTATACACACATGTTTATAGCAGCACAATACACAATTGCAAAAATATAAAACCAGCCTAAATGCCCACCTACCAATGAATGGATAAAGAAAGTGTGGTATATATACACCACGGAATACTACTCGGTCATA